AATTTTATACCAAATTAGAGATTTGACCTTACAGCTCCACTTGTTATAAATTAGTTATGGTTATTATTTTAACTAGACGATTTTTAATACCACCCCCAGGAAAAATTCAGCATTGCGACATATATTTTAAATCTAATTGCAAAAAGCACAAGCAAAAATGTAGTAAATGCGGTTTTATTTTTAGTATAAGACAAAATGAATGTAAAAGATGCTACGAAATACAAAAATCAATAGAAAGAGAAAAACTAAAACATGGGAGAAAGAATAAAAAAAAGTAAAACTTATTTACTGTAGCGGATTAAAATGAATTAGTCAAGCCACCAAAAATACAAAATTTTGGGGTGCCGTCAGCCCAAAATGCTTTGGCACGCAATTATATAAATAATTATTAACTCTATTAACTCAAAATTATAAACGTTAATATAAAAAAATTTGACAAGAAAACGGAAACTAGAAATTTAAAAAGATTAAAGAATAAAATAAAATCAAAATTAAAAGAAGTAAAGAAAATATAAGGAACAACTGAATACTTTGAATTCTGAAGACAAAAATAGTCAAGATATAAGAGAACTTTCGAAAATTGATACAAAAGACACAAAAAATCATTGGATACTTTGGGTATCATGTCAAAATTTTGATACTTTATTTTTGAGCATTAAAAGTAAACGATTTTTCACTACATTATTCCACTAATGTTTTGAAATAACTACTTTCTGTTGCTGCGCTACCAATTAATTAGGTTCAAATAATTGCAATTAATTGTACTCACAATCAATTATTCGGTAGGCCTGATGGTAACCATAAGGCTCAATATAATTTAGTGAACTTTTTTATTTCGGTAAATTGAATGTTCCAGTAGATAAAGAAAAGGGCAAGAAAATTTAACATTAGAAGCAAAAATTTTGAAAATTTTATATTGATGTAACCTTATTATTCGAATTAATTGAAATTCATGGCAGTTTAAACACTGAACTGAAAATAATTTGAAATAATTATTTAAATATGACTTTTAAATGTATTGATAATTCAAAAATACAATTCTCAATTAAATAAATGAAATGAAATACAGAACAATTATTTCTGAAAATCCTATCTAATGGAATGCAATTTTATAATTTGCTAATTTTCAAAAAAAAAATTAAATTAAATTAATTCTGAATTCTTACTCTTGTTTTAATATTTTTTGATTCAGATAGATTTCCAAAAATGGGAGACTGAACTATTTTAATTTCTTTAGCACAAATAAATGTGATTATAAAGAAGTGTGACTAATATAGAAGTATTTTCTTTATAGTTATTATTTCTTAGCTCAGAACTTTCTCTTATAGAAATCTGGTTAAAAATATTTAATGCTTTGTTGTATTCTTCTTTATTGGCAAGTTTTCTGCAAACTCAAAAGCTTTTTTTCATTTTTTTCTATATACCATCCATGGAGATAATATTCAGCAGCTAAATATTCAGCTTGAGATTTGATAATAGGTTCTTTACAATTAAGTAGACTTTGAATTATTTTCCACACTTCTTGATGTCTTGCTTCTCTTTTATAATTTGAAACTTTTGCAAGGTTAATAGTATAGTAGTGTTCATCTGGTCTAGTGTTCTGCAAAAAAAAAACCAGCATTTTTAGTAGCCATAAAAGTAGTGTTTCACTAAAGATGCCTGAACTAAAAATTGTATTTTTAATAATATGGAAAACTTCACACTAGAAAAAGGCTTTACTTTGTATTCCCGCATGCCTTTCATCAGTAGCAAGTCTTCAAAGTCACCAGATCCAGACCCGGAACTGAACCAGAACCGAAAACTTTGAAGAACTTTGAAGACTTGCTACTGGTAACAGGCACATTGAAAATACAAATTGAAGCCCATTTCTGGTGTAGGTTTTCCTATACTATTATATATATGGTTTTTAGTCTGGGTACCTTTTTTGGAATACTACTTTTATGCCAACTAAAAATGCTATTTTCAACAGTTCTTTTTTGCGAAATACTAATCAGGTCTACCGAATAATTAATTGTGAGGGCAATTAGCCAATTAATTGCAATTTTTTGTAAACATTATGTAATTAGTATATCATATCATATTTGCCATCAAAAGAAGAATTATATTCATTTCCTGCACCAACTTTAGTAATGTAATCAATTAAATTAATGATTACCATATTAAAATAATACCCCAGGGTGTGGTTTAAGATACTGGCCTGTATTAAGTTTGAATTAAGCCAAAATTTTAAACTACACCCTGGGGCATTATTTCGAGACAATATAGTAATTAAATTTATATCACATAATTTATATTGATATTTGTTTATTTCTGATTTAGCGTAACCATGCATGACAAATAATTCGAAAGTATTATTTATACAATTATGTGATAAAAATACATATTTACTACTTAAAATTGTATTACACCAAGATACTTACAAATTCAAGTTTAATTTTACCAGATTTAAA